CTCCCAGAATTCCTGAGCCAGCATGGCTCAGCATGGAAACCTCCATTTCTCCTCAGTACGGCTGGCTCAGGAATTCTGGGAGTTGAAGTCCACGAGTCATAAAAGAGCCAAGGTTGCCTACCCCTGCTGTAGGCCCTTCATTGGAGGATGAGATGGGGGAAAAGATCCAGCCTTTTATTCCCCCCCCAAGCAGACAGTAAATGTTGTCTGCCATTGTGCCCCCCAAAATTGACCATATTCCAACCTAGAATTAAGGAGAAATTTCCTGACAGTGAGAACAGTTGACCAATGGAATGGCTTTCCTCCAGAAGTTGTGGATGCTCCAACACCGGAGGTTTCTAAGAAGAGACTGGACAGGCACTTGTCTGAAATGGCATAGGGCAGTGATGGTGAACCTTTTAGAGACCGAGTGCCCAAACTGCAACCCCAAACCCACTTATGCATCGTTGGGTGCCGGGTGGGTGTGGCCCATTGGGTGGGCGTGGCTGCGGTGGTAACGGCAGACTGGGTGGGACTAAAAAGTTCAATCAATCAATTCCAACTTTGCAAGATCTTTTTTTTTCCCCGCGAGAAGTTGAAATTGACTGATTGATTGAACCTTTTTTTTTTTTTGCACACGGCGGCGGAGGCCTAAAGCGAAAAGGTTTTATAAAATCCAGCTGAAGGCCCAGGACTGGGGCGATGGAGCGCGTGCCCACAGAGAGGGCTCTGAGTGCCGCCTCTGGCACCCGTGCCATAGGTTCGCCACCACTGGCATAGGGTCTCCTGCTTGAGTAGGGGGCTGAGCTAGAAGACCTCCAAGGTCCCTGCCAACTCTGTTATTCTGTATTCTCCAAATGCAAAGGAAATTGGCCCATGCCAACCTGCCAGATTGCTGCTGAGGCCAAATGTCAGAACTACTGGAGCTCCATCTGTGTTTATCATGAATACTGGCAGACCTCGAACCACTGGTCTCCATGGTGAGGCTGGGGGAGCTGTTTTGAGGCAGAGAAGAAGGAACTGACATGGGTTGGGAATCGTTTGATCCCCCGTTTTAATAGGGAAGCTTGGACTGAGCAGCCAAACCAAGCCAAAGTACAAGATGGGAATCCCATGGGTTGTGTTGGTGGGTGATGGCCAAGCAAACCGATCATCATGAAAGTAGATTGAGGCTCACAATTTGAGGAGAGGACTCCCAGTCCTAAAATCCTGACTGAATTCTCATCCAGGCCAGCATTTTATTTATCTACTGACAATGCCCCTGTGGTCATAACATTGCTCAGGATTCCCTGTTACACTTCCACGTGATAGTTTAGGTCGGGGTTAGTCAACCTTGGCTCTTTTATGACTCGTGGACTTCAACTCCCAGAATTGACCCATGCTGGCTCAGGAATTCTGGGAGTTGAAGTCCACGAGTCATAAAAGAGCCAAGGTTGACTACCCCTGGTTTAGGTCTTCTCAAACGTTGTGGATCCAGCACTCCCTAAAATAATTAATGAATCTGTATCAGTTTCTTCCAAGTAAGGGGAGATAATCTACCCAAATTTGGTAATATCTCTCTCTCTCTCTCTCTCTCTCTCTCTCTCTCTCTCTCTCTCTCTCTCTCTCTCTCTCTCTCTCTCTCTCTCTCTCTCTCTCTCTCTCTCTCCCCTTCTCTCCCTTTCCCTCTCTCTCTGTCCAGCAACTGATCCTACTAAAAGCAAGGAAGGAAATGTGTTCCTTTAAAATTATATTTATTTATTTAGATTAATACCAAGCCTTATCCTCCCGGCTTTTGCACTGGAGGAGGGTATTGTAAGATTTCTTCTATACTGCTATTCACACTTCAAAATATAGCTCGGCGCCTGGAAATGTGTGAAATTACAAGCTGTGTCACATTTTTTTTTCCAGCATACATTTAGACCCACATGTGCTAAATTCAGGAAGGTTTAATCCTCCTTTTAGAGATCATGTCTTTTCCAAAGCTGCCTTCCATCAATCTGAGGCCTAGAAGCCAGGTGTTCATGCCAGGTGTTCCCAGATATCACAAAGAAGGATGATTTGGGCTGGGGATGATGGGAACTGCAGTTTAATAGGGTCTGGAAAGTGCTGAACTGAAAGAAGACTGCTCTAGCAGCTTGAGGTGAAGGAGCAGAACAATCCACTGTTGGCAACATGCCAGAACAAAATGGAGGTAGTCCTCCATTTATGACTGGTTACTTAGCAACCATTCAAAGTTCTGACAGTTGGGCCCTCCTGTGGTCAAGTGACTGTACTTTAGGCGCTTAGCAACAGGGCAACATTTATGGCTGTTTGTAGCATCCCACAGCCATGTAACTGTGATTTACGAAGATTTTGTGGAAAACTAGCATTTACCTCTGGTTTTTAGCAAAACTGGTCCCATAGTGAACCATTTAGCGACCACTTAATGACTTATTTAATTAATTGCTTAATGACCGCAGTCTTTGCTTAATGACCTTGGCAGTCATTTTATGACTGTGGTGCTTGTTTAATGACCACAGCAAAAGAGGTCACAAAATCGGATTGGTTTATAGGACCGACCTGCTTTACGACTGTCAGGAGTGTAAGGGGGCAGCCTCCATGACGACAGTAAATGAAGACCTACATGTACAGACAATTAAGAAGAATTAAGTTCTCTAAGCAATTAAGCTGCAAAAAGCATCTAAAACCCAGGATTGTTTAAAGAAAGAGAGAGAGAGAGAGAGCAATCATTTTGATTTAACATTTGCTGAACTTAATCCCAAAGGCAGAGCCTACATTTTCATTCCAGAAATCTCCAAAGCCAGCAGAATTATTCCCATCTCCCTGGAATGCTTGATTGTTCCTTGGAAAGACAACGAATAATCCCTGAAAATGTCCTTGGTCACCTTGGTCTGGTCAACCCAAATTTCTTCGGCAAAGAATAAAGCTCGTCTGTTTGGTTCAGCCAATTTTTGGGTTTTGACTTTTGATTTCCTTCTTGGTTTGCTCAGAGGCACCAAATAACTGGTAACAGCCACAGTTGTTTGCTACAAGGCATGATGACACCGCCATACCAATGACAGAATAATGGAATAACAGTTGGAAGGGACCTTGGAGGTCTTCTAGTCCAACCCCCTGCCCAGGCAGGAAACCCTAGACCATTTCAGACAAATGATTGTCCAGTCTCTTCCTCAAAACCTCCAGTATTGGAGCACCCACAACTTCTGGAGGCAAATGGTTCCACTGGTTTATTGTTCTCGCTAATGACACATCATTACTTTCATAATGATGATGTCATGATCCAGGTAATGTCAGGGGTTGTTTATTTTTATCTAGTTTTTATTATTTTCTATCAATAATTCTAGGCCAGGGGTAGGCAAGCTTGGCTCTTTTATGACTCGTGGACTTCAACTCCCAGAATTCCTGAGCCAACATGGCTCAGCATGGGAACCTCTCCCTTTCCCCTCAGCATGGCTGGCTCAGGAATTCTGGGAGTTGAAGTCCACGAGTCATAAAAGAGCCAAGGTTGCCTACCCCTATTCTAGGCAGTGAACATACTTAATACTCCTTTCTCCAACTTTCCCATAACAACAAACCTGTGGGGTGAATTGGACTGAGAGAGAGCACAACTGGCCCAGAGTCTTCCAGTCAACTTTCACGGCTAAGGCAGGACTAGAACTCAGAGTCTCCTGGTGATTGGCCCAAAGTCACCCACCTAGTTTTTATTCCTAAAATGGGACTAGGACTCACACTCTCTTGGTGATTGGCCCAAAATCACCCAGCTGGTTTTTATTCCTAAAGTCACCCAAATGGTTTTCATGCCCAAGGCAGGACTAGAACTCACAGTCTCCTGATGATTGGCCCAAAGACACACAGCTGGCTGTCAGGCCTAAGGTAGGACTAGAATTCACAATCTCCTGATTATTAGCTCAAAGTCATCCAGCTGGCTTTTAGGCTTAAAGTAGAACTAGAACTCATAGTTTCTTGGTTTCCAGCCCTAACTACAAGAGTGATATTTGTAACTGATAGGCGATCAATGAAATCAAAATTAGCTTGACAGAACTGATGTGTCATGAACAGGATTCTCATTATGGATGTGACTTGCCCTGCTTGTCCACCTGTGGATGGCCTTAGCACAGGAGTAGGCAACCTTGGCTCTTTTATGACTCGTGGACTTCAACTCCCAGAATTCCTGAGCCAGCATGGCTAAGCATGGAAACCTCTCCCTTTCCCCTCAGCATGGCTGGGCTCAGGAATTCTGGGAGTTGAAGTCCACGAGTCATAAAAGAGCCAAGGTTGCCTACCCCTGCCTTAGCAGCATCACTGTCATTTCCCCCCCTCCCCATATTTTCTGCAGTTCCTATATTTCCGGCTACCTCCATTGTTCAATCTGATACTGCTGCGAATCATTAATTGCATCTAAATCAGTGTTTCTCAACCTTGACAATTTTAAGGCATGTGGACTTCAACTCCCAGAATTCCATAGCCAGCATTGCTGGCTGTGGAATTCTGGGAGTTGAAGTCCACATGCCTTAAAATTGTCAAGGTTGAGAAACACTGATCTAAATTGTACTTGGCCTGTGTGCTCAAAAGCCCACATTCTTTTGCTTGAAAAGAGTAAAAAAAAGAAAGATGACTGCTAATGGCATTTTCCAGCACACCAATGGCTGAAAAGTAATTCTATTGGAATTTATACATTACATTTCCATCCTCTTTGCCCTTAAAAGAAGATCATAATGGATTCCTGGTCTCATTGAGAATTCCTACTGACTTCCTCAGGGTTAAAAATCAGAATTTCCAACTATTACGCCACAAAGAAGTTGTGATCTAGGGTAGAGGTCCCCAACCTTTTGGGCACCAAGGACCGGTTCCGTGGAGAAAGGACTGGAAAGTGCGTGGTTTTGTGTGCTGCCTGCATCTCGCGGATGGGGCTTTGCTTGTTTGTGTGGACCGGTTGCTGGCATGCTGCGGCCCGGTACCGGTCTACGGACTGGGGGGTTGGGGACCTCTGATCTAGGAATTAGCTGAACAAAATAGGGAGCTGGGACTGCAGAAAATACTTATTCCACCCGGAAACATTCATGCCGAGTGGAGAATTTCAGGGAGAAATATTTCGTGCTTTTCTTGGTTTGGTGAAAAGATAACATTCATTTTCCAGGAGCTTCCCAGAGACATTTCAGAGATGTAAAGAAATTTACTCATTTGTCATATAACTCTACATCGTCCATCAACTGATGTGTAGATAAACATGCCTTATTGGTCTCAGGTGCTTTTTCACAGCCTGCAAAGATGTCGGCGAGGGTAAACCAAAAATCTGCTTTTGTTTTCAGCCAATCACTGCGAAGCCCATGGGTGGGCAACAGGGGTGCACATAGGACGGGACAAGGGGGTACGCGAACCACTGCAACATTATAATTCAAGTCCCTTTTCTTTGCAGTGTTGCATGCGTTTCCCAAAGAGGTAAGGTATAGGGCAGTGATGGCGAACCTTTTAGAGACCGAGTGCCCAAACTGCAACCCAAAACCCACTTATTTATCGCCGGGTGCCAGGTGGGCATGGCCCACTGGGTGGGCGTGGCTGTGGTGGTCATGGCAGATTGGGTGGGAATGGCCAAGGTGGGCGTGATCACCTCAATGTTGCTCGTGGGGAGGGACACCTGTGGGGTCTGGGCAGGGTTGGGGGAGATCCAGGGGGTCTCAGCCAGATGGGGCGGTGGGCAGGAGGCTCGTCCTGCGGGGTGAGGCGAGGCAAGGCGAGGCAGGGCCATTGTCACAGGGCAAGGTGGGGCAGGGGCGACTGCTGCCTGACACCATCGACCTCTGCACACAGAGGCCAGCGAGCGCATGGGTGCTGGGATGCATCCGGCCATGTGGGATCTCGGTGAGTTAGTAGGCGGCTGGTTGAAGAGGGACAGTTGCCATCTCCAGGGCATGGCCAGTGTGCCCACAGAGAGGGCTCTGAGTGCCGCCTCTGGCACGCGTGCCATAGGTTTGCCACCACTGGTGTAGGGAATGGGGTCTCCAAACTTAGCGACTTTAAGACTTCTGGACTTCAACTCCCAGAATTCCCCAGCCACATACTACTCAGTGCATGCTAGGGTGGGTGTGCTAGTCAAGAAAAAATGCTTTAATATTTAATATTACATGTATTAACAGCTGCAAGAATAGTATTTGCCCAATTTTGGAAAAATGAAAATCTACCATCAAACCAGATTATAATTTTGAAAATTTTAAGATTGTGCAGAAATGGACAGATTAACGTTAGAGATGAAGGAGAAAGAAGACTCAATCTTTTATAAAATTTGGGGAAAATTTTATCAGTGGGTTGAAACACGTTAGAATAAGAAGAAATTTTAGAGTTTTATTATATTAGTAAGGTTGATGATTGGAAATAGTTGTTATGCTACCAACTATGTTAATTATCTAAAGGAATATTCGTGTTTTAGCAAATGTCAGTTGTAACTATACTGATTTATTCTTATAACTGTCTAGTATTATATAAACAATAATACTTATTATGAAGACCCGGACGACAGCTTGTTCACTGAATTACGTATTACTGTATTTATCCACACCCTGTCCCTTTTATCCCGATTTTCCTGTACCCGCACTGATCCTACCTTTTCCCTACGCATATAAAATCTAATAAAAAAAATCTAATAAAATATATTTTAAAAAAAGAAAAGATGCTTCTCCTGACTCCTTTTAGGAATTAGACCTCTAAGAAGATTTATTTCACAATAAAATCAGCCCCCCACCCCCTGGTTTGTTTTTCTGATCCTGATCCATTCAGGGTTTTTTTTTCACACACTTCCCCTTCTTTTCCTCCTTTGACACTGGTGAAGGGACCTTGTAGGCTTCCAACAGTTGTTCAACTATAATTCCCAGCATCCCTTGCACTGGTCCCATGCAGGCCGGTCAAGCACGGGTAACGGTTTAAGAAATTGCAGAATCATTCTCAATTTGTTAGGGATTGGGAATGCACTTAAAAAACAACAACACACTTACAATGAACTATTGCTCTGGTTGACATCTGGAAATGCAACCTCAAAAGATCACCATTGGGTGCCAGATGGCAGAGATCACTTACACTCAGCCACGAGGTCATTAACCTCTGCTCAAAGACAAAAGCCATTTGGGACACGTAGAGCTAATGCGCAGCATTTTCCGCAAAAGCTACTATTCCTTTCCTCTCCTCTCTCTGCCCCACCCTGGCTCCCCTCCTTTCCTCCATCCCCATGAAACAAAATAAGTGTACTCACCCCAGGTAAAGTTTTAATATTGTGCAGCGCATTCTGAGCTTCTAGGGCTGCTTTTCTGGTATAAAACGTTATGAAACAACAACCTGTGGAGAGAAATTGAAAAAGATTTCAGAAATGACCAGGTACAAAAAGAATGAAAAGGAGAGTAGGGAGGAGGAGGAGGAGGAGGAGGAGGAGGAGGAGGAGGAGGAGGAGGAGGAGGAAAGGTAGCATGTGGGGCTACCTTTGAAGACTATCTAAAACAGAGGTCCCCAACCTTTTGGGCACCAGAGACCGGTTCCGTGGTGAAAGGTTTTTCCACGGATCGGAGAGTGCATGGTTTTGTGTGCTGCCTGCATCTTGCAAATGGGGCTTCACTTGTTTTGTACAGACCGGTTGCTGGCATGCCGCGGACCGGTACTGGTCCATAGACAGGGGGTTGGGGACCCCTGATCTAAAATCTCTAAATATAAATACAAGCAACACTTGCGTACAACATCTGCATTGCAAAGCTGCTGTTGCTGGTTTGTTTCTTAATTCAAGGAGCTGGTAATAACTTATATGGCTTCAGACTGCATATCTGTAGACTGCTAAGGGGCGCAGACTTTGCCCTTTTATGCCCATGTAGAGATTCCAAACTAATTCCCCATTTGACTCCTCCCTCTGGCTTGGCCAGTCTCTCTGCGACACAAATTAGACTTGCATCCTCACAATTAATATTTAGAAAGTTGTTATTCAACTAAGTGTTGGGGGGAATTAGAGAGGCAATAATTAGATATGTAGGAGATGTACAGTGCTATTACCATGTATTATGATTTGATGGAATTAATTGGAACGTTTACAACTTTATAGATTCGACTGTTACCTATTTTGTAACAGTATGTTGTATGTTTGATTGTGCCTGGAAGCCATTTGGATTAGTCTAAGCTGGTGTGGCATAAAATACACGTAACAAATGAACTCCTTTTACTTTATTTATTTATTTAGCATCTGTTCTGTCAACTGGCAAGCCCGTGCATCTTTTCAGTAATAACGATGGTTGCAGGCAGAGAAATCTGCAAAACCCGACAGTTTTGTCAAAACGATGAAATGAGCCTAGCCTGTCACAACACAAATTCTGCCGCTTGTGTACGCTCATGAATGTGATTTCAGGTTATGACCATCATAGGTTGTGATGGAGCTGGACTCATTTTATCATTTTCCCATCCTGTCTCTTGCTTAGTCTTCGAGTTGCACAAAGCTATCTGTCTCCCGAATCTTCGTCAATCTGTGAAGTAACCGTTCCAGAGACTCTTTATTTAACCATGTCAGGTTTCAGTCCATCAGGTTTCTGAGATTTAAGAAAAAAAAATGATCTGAACCACTGTAATGTTCAGACTAATCATTTAGCAGCTGTCATTTTGAGCCTTCCCCGTGTGCACCAGCTGGAAAGAAGAACGGAAGTGGATTTTTATGAGGATCTGCTGTTTTGGAAACAGACCTTGGGAATAGAACAGCCTCTGGTTTTAAAAATGTGAGAGCATGAGGGAGGACCATAAGAACATATCTTTCCAAGTTTTGGTCACCACGATGTAAAAAATATGTTGAGATTCTAGAAAGAGGACAGAGAAGAGCAACAAAGATGATTAGGGGACTGGAGGCTAAAATATATATGGAACAGTTGCAGGAATTGGGTATGTCTAGTTTAACGAAGAGAAGGACGAGGGGGGACATGATAGCAGTCTTCCAATATCTCAGGGGCTGCCACAAAGAAGAGGGAGTCAAGCTATTCTCCAAAGTGCCTGAAGCCAGGACAAGAAGCAACGGATGGAAACTAACCAAGGAGAGAAGCAACCTAGAACTAAGGAGAAACTTCCTGATAGTTAGAACAATTAACCAGGGGAACAACCTGCCTCCAAGGAAGGCAGCGGCTCAGGAAGTTAGGAGGCTGGGCTGATGATCCACAGGTTCATGTTTGAGACCCAGTTGCTGCAGTGGGATGGGGAGAGCTCCCATCACACGTTCCATCTCCTGCTGACCAGCAGTTCAAAAGCCACCATGAATAGATAGATCGATACCATTTCGGTGGGAAACTTAACGGGGACATGAAAGGAGCCCCCAACTGGGCATTCCCCAGGCAAGGGTGAAGTCACCATTCAATCCTTTCAACTTGGAAACGCTTCGGTGCTCTCCAGATGAATGTAGTAATCTTACTAGAGGCAACCTGATCCTGTTGACTAATAAAGATTTTTGTTGGATGCAGAGTTTGGAAAATTTTAGAGGTAGCATCATCCAGAAATCCTTTTGCCTCTGGGCATGCCCCACAGGAACCCGCTAATACTACAAATAAGCTCCATATTGGCAAACATACAGCCACTTCCTTTGCAGGCTGGAGTCATTTGTTTACAGCTCAATATGGATGATTAATGGGAACTAACCATTGGAATTTGGATTGTTTATAGCTCAAGATCCCTTAATTACTTCAAAGGTCAGATACCATCGGATTTTCAAGAAGATGAGATATATATCCCAACTAAAGCGAAAGAAGAGAAGGGTATGGAAGAAATTTGTTGTTGTTAGTTGCGAAGTCATGTCTGACCCATCGCGGCCCCATAGACAACGTTCCTCCAGGCCTTCCTGTCCTCTACCATCTTCTGGAGTCCATTGAAGCCCACGCCTGCTGCTTCAGTGATTCCATTCAGCCACCTCATTCTCTGTCGTCCCCTTCTTCTATTGCCCTCCATCTTTCCCAGCATTAGGCTCTTCTCCAGGGAGTCCTTCCTTCTCATTAGGTGGCCAAAGTATCTAAGTTTCAACTTCAGGAACTGGCCTTTTAAAGAGCAGTCAGGGTTGATCTCCTCCAGGTTTGATCGCCTTGCAGTCCCAGGGGACTCGCAGGAGTCTTCTCCAGCACCATAGTTCAAAGGCCTCAATTCTTTGGCACTCAGCCTTTCTTATGGTCCAACTTTCACAGCCATACATTGCAACTGGGAAAACCATGGCCTTGATTATATGTAGAAGAAATAGCAACACCCAAACTAGCTCTCATCATGAACTGGTCCAATCATTGAGAAAAACCTCATTTCTCCATTAGTTAGTTCTTCCTGAAGGTTTGTATAAGATGACAACATGTTGAATGGAGGTTTTGTGTCAACCTGCTACTCCTTCAGTGCAATGGAGGGGGATCGTCTACTGCCAGTGTTAAATAAGATTCATTTCTAATCTCACTGGCTTTTCAATATGGAGAAAACAAACAGCATTATTTTGCCCAAGGGACTGTCTACAGCACGGGTGTCAAACTCGCCGCATCACGTGACGTGTTGTGACATATTGCGTCTTTTTTTGCATTGCCTGGAGCTGGGGTGGGCGCGGCCTCCATATGATGCAACCGGCCCGCGGGCTGGCAGTTTAAAACCCCTGGTCTAGAAGACTGGTGGCTAAAATATATGAAAAATGGTTACAGGAATTGGATAATGTGTCATTGATTGAAGAGAAGGACGAGGGGTGACGTGACAGCAGTGTTCCAATATCTCAGGGGCTGCCCCAAAGAAGAGGGAGTCAAGCTGTTCTCCAAAGCACCTGAAGGCAGGACAAGAAGCAACGGATGGAAACTGATAAAGGAGAGAAGCAACTTGGAACTAAGGAAACATTTCCTGACAGTTCAAACAATTAACCAGTAGAACAATCTGCCTTCATAAGTTGTGGGTGCTCCATCACTGGAGGTTTTTAAAAAGAGAATGGGCAACCATTTGTCTGAAATGGTATAGCTATGGCATGGGTGCCAGAGGCGGCACTCAGAGTCCTCTCTGTGGGCACACGCACCGTCATCCCAGTCCTAGGCCTTCAGCTGGGTTTTATAAAACCTTTTCGCTTTAGGCCTCTGCCGCCGTGTGCAAAAAAAAAAAAAAAAAAGGTTCAATCAGTCAATTTCAACTTCTTGCGGGAAAAAAAAAGATCTTGAAAAGTTGGAATTGATTGAACTTTTTAGTCCCACCCAGTCTGCCGTTACCACCGCAGCCACTCCCAGCCAATGGGCCACGCCCAGCCAATGGGCCACGCCCAGCCAATGGGCCACACCCAGCCAATGGGCCACACCCAGCCAATGGGCCACACCCAGCCAATGGGCCACACCCAGCCGGCACTCGACGATGCATAACTGGGTTTTGGGTTGCAGTTTGGACACTCAGTCTCTAAAAGGTTCGCCATCACTGGTATAGGGTGTCCTGCGTGAGCAGGGGGTTGGACTAGAAGACCTCCAAGGTCCCTTCCAACTTTGTTATTCTGTCCTTTGCCCAAAGACATAGCATGGATCATCTGTGGAAGTAAGAGCAATGCAACTGAACCTCTACTTCATAGTCCCCTCCTTCCTTCTCCTCTTTTTTTTCATTTGCAGCTTCCAGGCTGAACCATTTCATCTGAAAGAGGAATAATGTGTGCAAAACCAGAGGACGCGAGGCTGCTAATTGGGCCAAATCTCCCCAGGCTTCCGGGGCCCGTTGGCAATAAATATGAATGACTGCGCGGTTCAGTGAATCCCAGAAAGGAACAACTTTAATTATGCAAGCAAGGTTATGATGCTGGAGCCACGGTTTGGCACTTGAGAAGAAATGGATGTGGAATTCCAGGAAAAGCGGTTGAACGACTGGTTGGGGACAAAGCAACACTCGAAAAAGTGAGAAGAAGAAAAAAAACAACACCCAGATCGTCAGATTGTTCTTGGTGATGCTGAAGGACCGAAGTTGCGAACTTCTGGGCTTGTCTCTGTGTGCACATATATATTTATTTGTACGTGCTTTGTGTGCGTTTTCTACTTGCATCATTGAAGCTCTTCATGCACGGTGCAGGAGTAAACAATGAAACCCCCAAGAGATACTATGGACATCCTCCTCCCTAAATTTCACACGTTGTTATAAGGCAGTGGTGGCGAACCTATGGCACGGGTGCCAGAGGCGGCACTCAGAGCCTTCTCTGTGGGCACACCCCAGTCCTAGGCCTTCAGCTGGGTTTTATAAAACCTTTTCGTTTTAGGCCTCCACCGCCATGTGCAAAAACAAAAAAAAGGTTCAATCAGTCAATTTCAACTTCTCGTGGGGAAAAAAAAAGATCTTGCAAAGTTGGAATTGAT